TGTGTGGTCAGCTGCATTCAGGAGACGGGGATTAAACAGGATTGAACCAGGCTCTGCAGCAGGACTTCTGGGAGCCTTTCAAGGTGCTGAGCATCGTCTCCCAAATTTAGCTGACCACGGGGCGCCTTCTCATCTCCCAGAGGAATCTTCCAGGCCTGAGGCAGAGGTGGGGTCCGGCTTCCCAGGTGCCAGCCTGGGCTCAGAGGCCTCTGTCAGCTCCTGACTGAGGAGCAAATGAAGAATTACACTTCGGGCTCACGTTCTGCAGCACAGGAGGGGTGGGCGCCTTAGGTTTGGGGTTTGTGGGGGCTGTGGGCTGACAGCTATGGGGGAGAAAGTGCTGGTGAGTGGGGACCCTGTGCCCCGTTCACATGAAGCCTCCTCCCGCCTGACTGGCAGCCCGGTCCGCAGAGCCAGGCAGGAGGCGGAACCTGAGAAATCCATATGCAGGGACCCCTGTGCTCGAGTCTTCCCTGTTCTCTGGTGCTCCCATGTTCTAGAACACACGCTGGGGAATTCAGAATTTAAATAAAGCTGGCCTTTCTGACCTTGAGCCTCTGGACAAGAGTTAAGCATGTCCAGGCAGCGGGGTTTGGAAACACAGAAGGCTGCGCCCTCGTGTGCGCCGTGTGTTGACAGGAACACAGGCGGCTGACAGCAGCAGGAGCAAATGGCCTGCTCTGATGGGGACAGGCAGGAAGTCCTTCAGGGCATTTCTGTTTCATCACAGCTTTTCCTGGGGCTGGTGAGTCTGTTGGGCCTTCGGTTGACAGGAAAGGAACGAGCCCCTAAGGAACGAGCCCCTGTTGCTGGATGCAGAGCGTCTGGGGCCTGGCAGAATCCAGAGAGGGGAAGATGGTGGCCCCGTGTTGGAGGAACTGGCTTATTTTGTGATCCCCAGAGACCAGCGTGGCTGACCCCTTAGTGCTACAAATCCATAGCCAGGCCTCAGGACAGCTTTTGGTTTTATTTTTATTAAGCCACTGACCAGTGGTTAGGAGCAAGTGATCACAACCTTAACATTTTTATTGTAAATTGGAGCCTTGACTTGGGGATAATGTGAAACCCACGAGCTGCACGTTTCTCTGTAGACTGCACCTGGACACTTGTCACATTGCCAGCTGGCTCTGACAGTCATCGCCAGGACTGCCTGGGCCTGTGTTCATTCCCAGTCAATCAGTCCTGGGACACAGACATCCCGGACTCATGCCCGGTGCCAGGCCTCATGCCTACCTGAGGATGCAGACACATCCGCACCTGTCATCACCATGCAAGTGCCGGGCACTCTTCTCAGCGCTTATGTGTGGGAACTCGAGTAATCCCACACACTAGGAGGTGGCACTACTGTCATCCCCAGTGTGCAGATGAGGAATCAGAGGCCAGAAAAGGGGGTGACTTCAGTCACACAGCAAGCATGTGGCAGAGCTGGAGTCCAGGCTGTCATTCTGAACCTGCCCCTGGCAGGGCCATTGTTCCTTGTCACCTCTCTGCAGAAGGTGGGCCTCGTCCCCTACGTCAGACCCCTAGCCTGGCCAGCGCTCTTCCCACCCTGCCCCAGGCCACCTGCTGTGCCTGTGAGGGCTGTGTGTGAGCACTCACGTGAGCGCTGCTGATTCTCTTGTCTCTCCCCTGTGTCCTGCCAGGAAGCAGTTGAACCTCTGTTAATACTTTTGTATGCTTTCACTACAGTTTATATTTTTATAGGCTATTTTCTCAAGGTGTTTCTAGATTCCACATATCTATTTTATATAACAAGTTCTTACGTTATGTGTGTGACTCCCTTGTATCTGTGCCAGCCTGAGCCTCCGAGTTGCTCTTCCCTCTGGCCCTGACTCTCACTGACTCGCTGTTGTGATGTGCGGGCCCACTTCTTACCCCAGGTAGCCCCAGGCGCTGCCTGTAGTCATGCTGGCAGCTGTACAGTAGCCGCCAAGACTGCTGATGGCTGGAGACGGTTCTGGTTCCAACTATGGTATATTGATATAGGAAGTATCCTAGACAGATGCTCGGTTGGGTTTTCTAACTACAAGTTTGTATTGCACAGATCCCCACCCGCCATCCTGTAGTTTTGTCTTCCTGTGTGTTCCGGGGCTTCTGGGCAGCTGGGCCTGCCTGGGGAAGTCCTTGCAGGTAGGAGGCCATACAGAGACCTAGTGTGTGCCACTGAGTGTCCCACCGCTGCTGGGCAACTGGAGGACTGCAGGGGGCACCAGGTGACTCTCTCTTTTTATGTCACAGCAGCTCCTGTGCTGACCTTCAGGTTACATTTTGGAACTGTAATACTAAGGAAGAAATAAACTAATTTGTATGATATTCTGCACTGAAATTCCGTTATAGTCACTAGTGATGAGGCTCACCCCAAGGGCTTGGAGGGTGGACCAGGGCTTATTGGTGTTGGGGGGTGAGGAGGGGCTCTCTGACCTTCCAGCCTGGCATTTCTGGGTGTCCCTGCCCTTGGCTTACCCTGGGGCGGGTGCGTCAGGATGCCTTTCCCAGCAGTGGCAGCCTTGGGAGTCCCCAAGAACCATGGCCAAGCTGCAGGTGTGGGCTGGGGGCACCAAGGTGGGAAGCCAGGAGCTGGAGACTCCCTGTGTCCAGATAACCCCCCACCCAGCCACAAAGAACAGGCACGCTTCCTTCCGCCAGCTGTGCCATGCCCTGCCTGAGTCACAGGCTTGTTTGTCTCCTGCCTGGGCTGACAGCTCAGGCCCAGCTGCCACCGGAGACACCCCCAGCCATCAGTGGAAAACACCCAAGAATGATGAAGACCAAAGGGGTTCCCATAGGGGTGTTTCAGGGGTGGCTCCCGCAAGGATTCCCAGACAGGGCAAGCCAAGGCCTGGCAGGCTTTTCCCTTCTGGGGACATGGATTCAGCGAGGCTGGGGGCTCCTGAAGTCACACAGCACAGCAGGGGCGGCAGAGCTGGGACGGACTGGCTCAGTGTGTGGGTCAGGAGCAAGTCCACAGGCTCTGCTCCCCACCCCTTGGAAGGGGCTGCCACCAGGAGCAGTTCTGACTAAGGCCTGGGAAGCCATGACTCAGAGCATGGGTCCCCAGGGTCTCTTTGGGCCAGCCGGGCTGCTGTAGACAGACAGGAAGCACTCCTGACGCTCCTCCACCCGCAGGCAGCGTAGCAGGGCTGGACTCAAGCTAGCTTGCCCAGCAACTTGCTTTCCTGCGTGAACTCTGGCAGGCTGCCTGCTTTGTGCAAAGCCGCCGCTGGGGCCTGCTCAGGGCCCTCTCCCTCTTCCACCTGCTCAGGGTGGCCTGGGGCTTGGAGGTGGGCAGTTGGAGCCTAGGATGGGCCTGTGTCAGCAGGGCATGTGCCCTTGGGCCAATTACTTCCTCTCAGAGCCTTGGGCTCCTCCTCTGAGGATGGAGTGTGTTGGTGTGAAATGAGGTGAGCGTGTTGAATTGGGGAGCAGCAGGACACGCACCTGCAGGCAGCCACCCTGGTCACGCTCCCTCCCTCCCTTCCAAGTCCTTGGACAGACACTCATCGCAAAAGATTCAGCCTCTGATACTGTTTCTTGGTCTCAGCCCCTAAGGGTCCCTTTTTTTTTTTTTGTTTTTTTTTTTTTTTTTTGAGATGGAGTCTCACTCTGTTGCCCAGGATGGAGTGTAAAGGCGCGATCTCAGCTCTCCGCAACCTCCGCCTCCTGGGTTCAAGTGATTCTCCTTCCTCAGCCTCCTGAGTAGCTGGGATTGCAGGTGCCCACCACCGCACCCGGCTAATTTTTGTATTTTTAGCAGAGACAGGGTTTTGCCACATTGGCCAGGCTGGTTTCAAACTCCTGACCTCAGGTGATCCGCCCACCTCGGCCTCCCAAAGCACTGGGATTACAAGCGTGAGCCACTGCACCCAGCCAGGAGTGATTTTCAGTGGTGTCTCCTCCATCCCCAGCATACACCCAGCCCTGAGTGGCCGTGGCTGCCACATGCAGGCTCCAGGGCCACACTCGCCTTTCGTCCAGGGATGTCATATGCTGGAGAGTAGAATGTGAGAGGTGACCCCTGTAGGCTGCAGGGCGACCTCTCTGAACCTTAGTGTCCCCACCTGGAGAAGGGGCGTAACACCTTCCGGGAGAGGGCTGAGGAGGAAATTGTCAACAACTGAGTCCAAGGCTCATAGACAGAGGGTAGGGTCAGCTCCAGGGCTGGGCCTGGGCCTGGGAGGACAGTGTCTGCCCCTTCCCCAGCCTCCTGCCCCTGGCCAGGACAGGACCCTTTTCAAAACACATTCATGCTCATCTGTTCCCTGCTATGGGCACCACTGTCTGGCTCTATGGGACTAGATTTTATGGGAGGGGAAGGGGCTGTGGGTAGGCAGGTGCCAGGTGCTGGACCATCGATCAGCATGGTAGGAACCTGTTGCTGGGGCTGGTGGTGGGAAAGGGGCCACCCCGAGGCAGTGGCAATTAGCCCAGCCCTATCTCTGGGCACAGAGATGAAGGGACACATGGTGACACAGTAGGGCACAGCTGGCCAGCCTGCTCTTCCCCTCTCTGTCTGCTTTTTGTAGAAGAGTCAACAGATAGAACAGACAGGGCCAGGGAGGTGCCCCCGGGGGCCCCAGTCCCCATCACTCCAGGGGGCAGTCCCTGCAAGTGACAAGATGGGCCCAATCCCTGTGGAACAGGTCTCTGAGGACCACAGAGTGGGGCCCCAGCAGACGCTAGGAGCCTGAGCTGGAGGCGGGCAGCAAGTAAGGGCCAAGCTGCCCCTGCCCAGAAGACCTTCCTGCCCCCAGAACCCCACCCTCTGCACACAGGCCTCCCTGGGCAGCAGCCCCCGGCTTCCAAGGCCTTCTGTGCCTCACCAGACGCCACGCTCTCATGGACCCGACTGCTGCTCTGCCCACTGCAGATTTGCCCCAGAGGAGCACGTGAAAAGCCGCGCCTGCCAAGGTGCTGCCGTGGTGGAGTTTTGGGCAGAGGGGCTGGGGGAAGAGTTTCTGACTTTTAAGATTCCCCAAATCCAGGATGAAGTCACACTGTGCTTTGGAATGGTAGATGCTCATTTATGTAAAATCGTAATAAATGTTACACGAACTGTTAGAATAAAAAAATACCTTTTTTGATGGGGAGGAGGTCCCCAGCCTGCCACTGGGTAGGGAGAGGGTTAGCACCATTAGGGCGCAGGGGGTGGAAGCTCCGCCACAGCCCGTAGTGGGCACTGAGGTCTGTCGGTCAGTCTGTGCATCCTGGCACAGTCAGCGGCGGGCAACCCGCTGATGGCCTCGAGGGGGCGCCGTGGCTGGGCGGAGAGCATGAGCGGCAGCACTGCATGCGGATGGTTGGCAGCTGGCAGCGGCCCAGTAGGCGCAGCCTCTCACAGAACCCGAAGGATAGGCGGTCCCGCTCACAGCCTGGAGTGGGGGAGGGGCAGAGGGGCATCAGGACCAGTGGTTTGGGGTACCCAGAACCTGGCTCCCCACCCCAACCACCTTAAGGAGGCTCCAGCAGCTCCCCACCGAGCAAAGGGCCCCAGTTTCTGGAGTGGCTCCTGAACCGGAGTTGCAGGTCTCCAGCTGTTGCTGTTTCTGTCCCACCTGCTCATGGCCAACCCCAGGACTCAAGAACGGGCGCTGCTGGGCTGAGGTTTCTGGAGGAAAGGTCCTGAGACCCCACCCTGATGCCCTCACATGCCCGTGAAAGAGCCTGCCCAGGGCGACTCCCTGCCACCCCATCTCCATCCTTGCTCACCCCTGGTGTTCCCCAACAGATCCTGCCACAGAACTGCGGTCCCGGGGCCTCCTGCCAGCCTGCAGCGGCCTCTGTCCCCGACTCCCACCACCACCCCCTGCCCCAGTACATCTGGCCTGCCAGGCCTCCGTGACCACCTCCAGCCACGGGGGCTGTACTCAGCCTCGGGTTCTGGGTCACAGGGTCCCATCTCCCAGGCCAACCTCCCACTTCTCAGGTGGGCCACAAAGCCTAGAGTGAGTGGGCCTTACAGGCCGTCAGCGGAAACCAGGGACTGAGCCCAGGCCAGCTCCAGGCTGTGCTCGTCAGGGCTGAGGCTTGGCTGGGCCCTCCTGGCCCAAGTTATCAGAGCTGTTCTGGGAAGTGGCTTGTTCCCAGCCTCCTGGTCTTGCTCCTGATGCCACTGCCACTGCTGACAGCCCCCAACTGCTGCCCGGGCCCTGCTTACTCCAGCAGACCTCCCTGGGGAGGAGGAGCAGGAGGGCAGCAGCCCCTGGGACATCCCCCAGGCCCAGCAGAGGGCACAAGGCAGCAGGCAGGCTCCTCCACCCCAACTCCAGGCAGAGCTCCAAAGTGTACATCTGCAGGCATGCATCCTAGTCACCCGGGGTGACCTCAGATACGCTGCTTCACCTCTTGGGCCTTGGTTCCCTCCTCTGTCAACCCCACCTCCACAGCAAACGGATGTGGCCATGCTGTGTCATTGCAGTGACCACACACACACCAGTTTCCCGGCTTTCCACCATGTCCCGCCAACTGTCCCACAGACCAGCAAAACATCCTGGGAATTCCAGGTCTGGAAGTCCAAGATACCTTCCCAGCCGCCCCTCCACTGTTCACTGGTGGCAGAAAACGCCTCACTTAGGACAGCTTCTAGTTCAGCCACCTAACCAGCCCCCGTTGCCCACTCCCTGCAGCTCACTCACAACCCCCCTGGGAGACCTTGCAAACCCAGAGCCTCCTGGGCCATCCATCCTTGGTTCTAGGCTGCCAGGCGCCTCAGTTCCTGTTCTCTGCCCCATCTGGTCCTCATCCCCGGGGATCATAACCACCCTGCTCCCTCCGGCCAGCCCTAACCCTGAAGGTGAGAGAGATGGTGCCAGCACCCAGCTTAGGCGACACACAGGAGCACTCTGAGATGCTGGCTAGGTGCATGCTGAGGGCAGGCAGGACAGAGTGGGGGCACTGCCACTGGGCCTTGAGGTTTGAGGCAGGAAGGCCACCCCTGCCAAAGGCAGGGTAGCAAGGCATGGCAGGGGCCACTCTGAGCCTGAATGAGGGCTGCCCAGGAGCCAGTGCAGATAGAGAAGGCTGTATTGGACAAGGGGAGAAGGCAGACCGGGGAGATTGCAGGGGGCCCCGAATGCCAGCTTGAGGGCCCTGGCTGAGGACTCTGTCCTAGGGGAAGGGAGCAGACAGCCAATAGCACAGGGGCCACAGCTCCTCATGCCACAGCTTCTGGATTCCTTAGACTGGCAGGGTTGACCCCAGGCCTTCTCCCTGACCTTGCAATTGGGGATGACAGTGGCTTTGGCAGAGGGGAAGAAGCCGCTTTGCCTGAGTATCCCCTCGATGCCCACGCAGTGCTGGGCCCTTCATGCCCAGACTTCATTTATGCAAGGATGGGGCTTGGCAGCCCCTTTATTCAGCACATGAAGGCCCTGATAGGGAAATGGAGCCCAAGGCCACACAGCTGGCAAAAGGAGCCTAGGTGACACTCCAGGGCCACCCCATTTTCTGCCCTCAGCACTGCTGAGAGCAGCTGGGGCTGCAGGAAGGAAGTGTATGAGTGTGTGTGTGTGTGTGTGTGTGTGTGTGTGTGTGTGTGTGTGTGTGTGTTGGAGGCAGCGGCGGGGTTGTGCAGAACCACCTCTAGCTCAGGCCCTTCCACCAGGACCCAGCTGGCCAGGAAACCCCCCACCACTGGGATTAGCAGAACCCTGGAAGGGAGGCCCTTCCTGCCTCAAACCCCATTACCTCATCAGCAGGGCCCTGGGGAAGGCCGCTTTGCCTGAGTATCCCCCGATGCCCACGCAGTGCTGGGCCCTTCATGCCCAGACTTCATTTATGCAAGGATGCTGGGGCTGGCAGCCCCTTTATTCAGCAATAAGGAAGGCCCTGATAGGGAAATGGAGCCCAAGGCCACAGCCGGGCAAAAGGAGCCTAGGTGACACTCCAGGGCTAATCCCATTTTCTGCCTCCTCAGTGACGCTGAGAGCAGCTGGGGCTGCAGGAAGGAAGTGTGGTGAGTGTGTGTGTGTGTGTGACTGTGTGTGTGTGTGTGTGTATGTGTTGGAGGCAGCGGCGGGGTTGTGCAGAACCACCTCAGCCTGGTGGCCCTTCCACCAGGACCCAGCTGGCCAGGAAACCCCCACCACTGGGATTAGCAGAACTCCCGAAGGAGGCCTTCCTGGCCTCAAACCCCATTAATACTCATCAGCAGGGCCCTGGGAGGCCTCTTCCTGCGGTCTCCATTGCTCACTCTAGGCAATCCTCTGGCCAGGAATGACAGGCCAGGGCTAGGATAGACTCACCCAGGCCCAGTTTTCACACAGCCTCAGGGACATCCCTGGTCTCACTGTGAAGACTGAGACCCAGAGGGGAAAGAGCTTACCCAGGTTCACACAGCAAATCAGGGGTCAGGCCGCTCCTCTACTTCCCGAGGTCAGACAGCTGCTCGCGGATGTTGCATGACTGGGACTCCCTTGACTGACTCCCAGCACAGCCCAGCCTCCAGCATGGCATCCTGTGGCTTCAGGATTTTCAGTGGCCACATGGCTCCTGAGCCCAGACGCAATGGTTTGACGATCACTCTCATCAGCCTCCCCACCCCACCTCACTTCAGTAGAGATCCTGGGGTCAGGGATCACGGGAAGCTCGACAAGCTCAATCTTGTGCGCGACGCTGGAGTTTCTAGTTAGGCTCCTCTCGTGGATCACACTGGGTCGCTGTCTTCCTCTGGCAGCTCCCCGCTCTGGGTGTTGACACTTGACACCAGGCGCCGCGCTGACGCCACCACCACAGGGGCTGAGCACTGGGGAGTGGGGGAGGAATGAGTTTCTCCGACCAGTCCTAGCAATGGGGGACAGTGACACTTCCTCTGGGGAAGCCATCCCTGCGCCCCCTGTGCCTGACAGGCCTGCCCCTTGCTCCCAGCCGCCCCCTGAGTGCCTCCTGGAGGACCTTGGTCCTGCCCTCAGAACCCACTTGGTGCTGAACCCCACTCTCACTTGTGGATCGGTTCGGCAGAGGGGGAGGGGCATGAGAACAGGACAGCCCTCGGGGTTCTGGGCAGTGAGGCCCTCACAAGGACATGCCTGGAGAGGCCTGGGCAGCGCCCCGGATGGAGCCCTGATGCAGCAGTGGGCAGAAGATGTGGCGAGACACCGCTGTGCCTGAGGGACAGGGCAGAGGACCTGCCACAGCCCATGGGCAGGAGGGGAGGAGACAGGTTTCAGCCGGGCCCAGCCCACCAGGCTTCGTTGTTATCAGGTGTGGGTCTGAAAGCCCTAAACATGCGCTGCGTTCAGCAGTGTCGTGCTGTGCCCAGCCCTGTGCTTTGTTGTGTTCATTCATTTAATCTTCCCAACCTCCTCTCTCTCAAGCTGTCCCAGTTTTACAGATGAAAAACAGTGACTTAGCAAAAGCAAAGCAACCTGCCCAGAGTCACCAGCAGCCAGTGGACAGACTCAAATGCTGGCTCAGCTGACTTTAGACCCAGTTCAGGGCCCAAATCTGAGACGCCTGAACCCCTGAGTTCCAAACAGACCCGGCAGAAGGTGTCCTGCCCATCTGAGGGCCCTCTTCCACCCCCTTCTGCCGCTGGCCTTTGCTGGGCTCCTGATAACCTCAAGCTTGTCATTCCTGCCTCAGACTTCACACCTGCTGTCCCCTTGATCCCTGTCCTTGGCATCACTGATTCTCCTCGGGTCTCAACCCCAGACCCTCCTGGGAAGGCCTTCCTGACATCACAACACACGTGTCTCTTTCCTTGTCTGTTTCTCCCTGGCAGGTGAGCACCAGCGGGGCAGGGCCTTGTCCAGTCACTGCTGCATGAAGAGGGCCACAGAGAGCCTGGCTCACAGCACATACTCAACAGATCCTTCACCCAACCCAGGACTGACCAGGTGCCATCACGCACTTGCTCCTGCCCTCCACTAGCCTGGCTCACCTGGTCCCAGGGCCCACCACTCCACTGTGTGCAGGGGGTGGGTGTTGCAGGGCCGTGGTGGTGTTGGGTCTCAGCGCCTCCTCAAGAGGCCTGGCTCTGACAGGTCATCAGACGCTGCTGCTCACCACCGCCACAGGCCTCGGAGCACTGGGTGGGCAGGGGCCAGGTCAGGGCACAGCCAGCATCTGAGGGCGCCCCCAGCTGAACTCCCAGGCCTCACTCTCCCTCCAGGAAGAGGTGTACCAGCTGAGGCAGGGCTGGGCCCCGCAGGGCCTGTGCGCAGGTGGCTTGGCAGGCCCGGGCTGACAATGGAAGGGCTGCAGCAGCCGAGGTCCCTGTGTCCACATTACACTGCACATCCCGCACTGAGGAACCTCCGCCGCAGCTGCGGAGTACCTGGGGACCGAGAGACGGTGGGACACATCCCCAGGCAGGCCACAGGTGCACTCCCGTGAGGCGGTGGCGGAAGGCATCAGGCCCACGCCTGTGCCCGGGACAAATCCCTAAAGAGCCCCAGCGAGAGGTTGCAAGGCTGGCCCGCCCCAGGCAAAAGGTATGGCCAGGGCTGCCAGGGGCTGGACAGATAGAGGAAGGGGAGGAATAAAGGCAAGCTGGTGGGAAGACAAGTCCAGATGGGGTCAAAAATACAGAGGAAAGGAAACAGGCCAAGCCAGACACAGGTGAGAAGACTCCCAAGAGATTCGGAATCCAGTGTGATCGGGCACACAGACGTGCAGCCTGGAGCCCTCCCCTGTCCTGCTGCTTTTGGAACACAGGCCTTGGGGAACCAGGGCTCCAACCCATGCCCTGGGAATGCCTGTCCTGGCTCCATCCTCACGCACCTTACTCCAGTTGCCTGAGTGCCAGGTGGCACAGGGCCGCAGGTGGCAGCGGCGGGCAGGCTGGGGCCGATAGCGGGGCGCAGTCCTCATCCCGGCCAGAGCTACAGCGCACCGACCTCCAGACGGCACCCAGGCCACAGGTGGTGGAGCACCGTGGGCACAGACCCGTGAAAGCCAGGCAGATCCCCATCTCGCCAGGCTCTCTACAGCCAGGAAACTACCCACCTAGCCTAGCGAGACCTCAGCAAGACAGGGGCCTCTTCTGGCCGGCCTCAGTTTCCTTATTTGCAAATAGGCTCCTCCACCCACTTCCCAGGGAGACTATGAGAATGAAAACAAATCCCCCCAGCAACCAACCGTCCTCGCTCACATGGGACAAAGGGCCTGGGAATCTATGTCATTGGTGCAGAGGTGGGGGAGGGACCCTGTGGGCACCCCTGACCAGGGGGCTGTCCTGACCTCAGCCTCGTCGCTTCCCAGAGGCACCAGGAAGGAAGGCTGGGTCCTGGGACAAGCAGCCAAACCGCTGGCGATCGATAAAACAAGTCCTGTGGGCCTCAGCCTGCACCTTCCTGCCCCCAAATTAGGGATCTGAACAGAAGCTTGCTTCTCCTGCAGTGACCATCTGGGACTCCAGGAGGGGGCCCTGGCCAGCTTCTTTTTCTCATGCAGCCTGTGATGCCTGCAGGTCACTGGGTCAAAGGAGGGTGGAGTCACTCAGGGCAGAGCCAGGTGGCAGTGGGCTGAGCCTGAGCCTGGAGGGAGCCAGGCCGTGCCTCAGGGAAGCTGTCTGGGCTGGGCAGGACTGGGCCTGGCAGCCATGGGCGGAGATCCTCCCCATTACACAGCTGTCTGAGCCAGTTGCATCCTGGGGTGGGCTGTGCTGCCAGAGCTTGCCTGCTCCCTGCCTTCCTGGGAGGCTCCCCTGTGCTGCCCAGAAATGGGCCCCAGGGTCCCCTCATTCCCCTAATCCTGGGAACTCCTGCTCCTGAAGAGAGGCTAGACAGATGGCGCCTGGGTGTCCCACTCTGCTCATTTTCAGATGAGGAAACGGGTCACTGCTGTCCCAAGAACTCCCCAGCCCACTCCAGCCTGACACCACTTGCCTGGCTCCAGCTTCCCTGGCCAGCTAGCGCTCCTGACAGCCAACGGGTCTGCAGGGAGACGGCTTCGTGCCAGGCTGGGAGCCAGCGGTTGGGTCTCAGGGGTTCTGTGGGTTGTTGGCGGGGCTGTCCCAAGCGGGCGTGGACAGTAGCCTAGAGCCTGTAGGGGCACCTCAGGCTGAGGACTCAGGCTGGCTCCTTGGGTCCTGGGTTCAGGCAGGCTCAGGCCAGCCCGAGGCCAGTCAGGTTGGGGAGGAAGGTCCCCACACTGCCACAGTCTGCACGTCCCATAAGCCTGGTCCTGGGGTGTGGGGCAGTGGGAGTCCTCGGCTCCAGGGGCTGTCCTGCCTCCTTCATCTCTGGCAGATGGGCTATGGGGGAGGAGGGGGAGGAGCCACCCAACAGTGGGCCACAGTTCACTGTCCACAGGCCCCAGGCCACCCTCCAGAGTTGGCTCCCAGGCCACAGTCCCTCCTGTCCACAGCCTCCTCACATCAGGACTAGGAGAGGAGGTACTGCCGACAGGGACAAAGGGGGCAGGGACAAAGGGGCAGCGTGGGGCTGGGTCCCAGAGGCGGGTGGGTGCTCTACGGCCCTCGGGTTCTCATCATCCTTGAAACTTCATTGGTCCTGTCCCTCCATGGAGGGGGTAGCTGGCTCGTCCTTGGCACGGGAAGTCATTTTGGCTTCAGGGTGGCAGGCGTCTGCAGGCCATCAATGGAAACTCCTGGGCCAGGGCAGGCTGGGGAGCCTAAGATCTGGGCCCTCTGGGGGCGTCTTTCTTCAGGCAGGAAATTGATCAAAGGGTTCCCAGGGGTCTGCTCTGAGGGTGGGGGGGAGGGCTGCCTGGCTGGGCTAAGGGCTAGGGGACTAAGGTCCCGTGCCCTCTCCCTCCTTGGCTGCAGGAGGCTCTGTGGCAGGTGCAATGGGCCATCTGTGGAGGGCACAGCAGACCACTGTGTGGTGGGGCGTCTGATCCCCTGTCTCCGCCCAGGTCTAGATCAGGCCCTCAGAGGGCCCATAGGACAGATCATGGGAAGTTGATGAAATTGTAGTTTTAGTAGAAGTCATCCACAAACACGGCTCCCCCGGCAGGTCCAGCTCTAGGGCCTTCTTCCCTCAATGGCGTTGCCTCTATGGTGCCTGGCTTGGGTGGGGATGAGACAGGTGAAGGGCGTGGGGCCCGGTGGCGTGATGAAGTCAGCCTCATTGAAGAGCTCGTGGCTGAGGAGCGCTACCTGAGCCTTCAGGGCCCAGTGTGTTCAGGGGCCACCGATACAGGGTGGCAGAGAGCAGGTGATTCTCTGGCTGGCTGCTGGGCTCACACAGGGGGACACTCAGTGTCATTGGTGCAGAGGACATTTCGTTTGAGGTTTACATAAGCCATTGAGCACTGCAAGGGAAGCCAGGTGAGGGCATGGCTGGGTAACCTGTCCACTGCCCAATGTCAGAGTGGCAGAGATCCCAGCCAGCCCTCTCTGGCCCTGCCCAGCTCAAGGCCATGACTGTGGACATGCTTGCCAGGGGCTTCCTGATCCCTGAGGCTTAGAGTCAGGGCTGGACCTCGAATGCCCAGGCTCCTCCACGAAGGCTCCAGGAAGGCTGTCTGCCTATCTCAGTAGCCGAAGACTGGCGGGGTGGAGCTGAGGCGGGCCTCCCATCCTACACTACCTGAGACCAGTTTCCTACAGCCCAGGCTTGACAGGCACATGGCGGTTGCAAGGGTTTCAGTAGGGGCCGGGAAGGTGTTCTACAGGCCGGGGCTCCAGGGCGCTCCGCTCATCCAGCCCCACGCTGCGGATGCAGAGCACGGCCCGGGGTGGGAGAGGCCCTAAGGCCCACAGGAGCTGGAGCACAGCTGCCACTACCTGCCTCACCACCTGGCGAGGGCACACAGGTGGCATCAGCATGGCATCAGATGGATGGCACCAGCAGGCTCACCAGCAGGGAGGGCCAGGCTGGGCTTCCAGGCCCTCAGGGTTTGGGCAGAGCTGGGACTGAGGCCAGTGGATGATTCTCCAAAGCTCCAAGCCCAGGTAAGTGTCCTGCTCTCAAAGCCTGGTGACATGGCACAGCTCCTCCATTCCTGCCACTCCTCCCCTCAGGAAACTGAGCTTGATGACAGCACAGCCCTCTGTTCCTGCCACCTCTCCCCCAGGGAAACTTCCTCAGGATACTCCCTCAGGAAACTGATCTGAGGCTCATTTCCCATCCAGGACCCAAAGAGGAGGACTGGTGTCTAGGCTGGCTCCAGGCTGGGGTGAGGGGTGACTAGGGCTGGGGTTTCAGCCTCGGGAAGAGAGTGAAAGCCCAGCTCCCTCTGCTCCTCCCCAGGGCCTCTGGGGACCCAGATGGTGGGGCCTGTGGCAGACTCAGGACACCTAGGTGGGAGTTGGCGGGGGAGTGGGGTGGGCTCACCTGGCAGGGCAGGGCTGCTCGCGCTGCACTCTCTGGCGGTCATCGGCCGGCCCAGGGGGTCACAGTGCTCCTCATCCACGGCCCTGTCTGCCGCTCCGAGCAGCACACTCTGCCTCTGCACACCTGGGGCCATGGGTTTAGCTCAGACTGGCACCCAGGTGGCCACCACCCAAGACCCAAAGACACCCAGAACCCTCCCAGAACAGCGCCTTACTGCCCATGTCAAGATGAAAGCAGACCTCCACCGTCACCTCCTCGCTGTCCTGGTTCTCACTCACCCCCTCTCTCTTATGTAGCTCCTCTGGCTGCTCCCTGGACGGGTGGGCAGAGTGTGGAGGATTACTGTGTTTTTGGTGCTCCTGACCTCTGCTCCTAGCTGAAACTCCTGACAACTCATCTGGCCTCTCTGAACCTCAGCGCCCTCCTCTAAGAAGTGAGCAACAATCCTGCCTCCTCCAAGCCCTGGAGGGAGGACTGCGTGTGTTCTGCATGCAGGCTTGGCCTCACGCCCAGCACATCCAAGAGCTCGATCCGCGTGCCAGCTGCTGCTAGCATGCAAACCTGCTTCATGGCTCCTGCCACCCTCCCCTCAAGGAAACTGAGCCTGCCCTGAGGACTATTTCCACATCCAGGGGCCCAAAGAGGAGGGACTACAGGTGTTCACTGGCCTAGGTTGGTGGAGGGGTGATCGACTGGGGCCTCAGCCTTGAGAAGAGAATGAAAGCCAGATCCCTCTGTTGCTCCTTCCCGGGGCTGGCTTGGGTGATGAGGTGGGGTGAAAGGCATGAGGCCAGGTGGCTCCTGGATGAAGTCAGCCTCTGATGAAGAACTCGTGGCTGGAGGAGCTGCTGCCTGAGCCTTCAGGGCCCCGTGTGTACGGGGCCACTGACACACCATCCCACCATCCACACCCTCCTTCCCAATGGCTCAGAGAACATCTGACAAGAAACGGGCATCAAGGGCAGCCCTGCTCTCCACTCCCTGTACTAGCTCTTGGCACTGCTCCTGTCCTTCACACCATCTGCCACTGCCCACCCTGGGGCCTTTGCACGGCCACGCTCCTCACCTTAGACACTCACTTCCATACTGCCGGTTGAGGCCCAGCCGCAGGACCCCCTCTGCAGGTGGCTCTGTCTTCTGCTCCACCCTGCCCCGTGGTCCTGAGAGTGTTGTCCGTCCCTGAGCTGTCGTTCCCACACTCCATCCCCTCTCTTTCTCACCAACAGACTTCTGATTTTGTTCAAGGCAGCAATGGACCTGCTGAAAACATTGACTCCCACTGCCGCCTCCCTTGCAACTAAGGGGTCTGGGACACAGTCCTGGCTGGGGAGAAAAAGGCACAAGTCCCTTGCTGGGAGTCAGCTCCTTCCTCTCTCCTTCCTGCCCGGTACACGGTAAGAGCCCTGAAGGGAGTGACACCATCTGTGACAAGAAGGAGTGTAGGGAGGCTGCTGTGGCAAGGACAGGTGGAGTTGAGTGGCTGGTCAGCTTCAGATCCCGCTCAGCTTGGACTGTGCACCTGGGACTTCCTGCCTGAGACAAAGAACCCCTGTCTGTTCCAGCCACCACGGGGCACTTGCCTCTGCAGACATTCCCAAGTGGTCCACCTGCCGAAGCAGCTAATTTAAGGAAAGACAATTCCCAAATGTCTAGTGCTGCAAATGTATGTGTCGGTTTCACATTTGTCCAATTAAAGACACCTGTGTTAGCCAGGCTAGCCACGCCTGTAATCCCAGCACTATGGGAGGCCGAGGCGGGTGAATCACCTGAGGTCAGGAGTTCAAGACCAGTCTGGCCAACATGGTGAAACCCCATCTCTACTAATAATATAAAAATTAGCCAGGCTTGGTGGCGAGAGCTCTGTAAATCCCAGCTACTCAGGAGGGTGAGGCAGAGGAATCACTGAACCTGGGAGGTGGAGGCTGCCGTGAGCCAAGATCATGCCATTGCACTCAGTCTGGGCTACAGGGTGAGACTCTCCATCTCAAATAAAATAAAATAACAAAGACAGCTGTATTAGATAAATATGGGTTTCCTCCTAGCTTTGGAAGGTATCTGCCCAGTTCTCCATTTTCGTTTTGTCATCATAATAGCATTTTATGAATGTCAGTTGCCTGTATCTCAGATTCCCGATTCTGAGACCCTGAGGACACTGAGTGTCAACAATGGGAAGACTGAGGGGAAAAGGGAGGACTAAGAAAACAAGCGAGACTGAGGTGTGGGGAGACTCCAAGGAACGGCGGGGAGACCGAGCGGGAGGAAGACTGAAGGGCATGGGTGTGGACTGGAGGACAGGAGGGAGACCGAGGGGTATGGGGGAGATTGAGGGGCATGGGGGGAGATCGATGGGGCTATGGGAGGAGATGGAGGGGCAGAGGGAGGCTGAGGAGCAGGGGAGGAGACAAGAGACAGAGAGGAGGAACTGAGGAGCATGGGGAGACTGAGGGAAATATGGGGAGGAAGAGTCGGAGTTAAAGAAATTGGCTCCTACTTTTTACAAATAGTTCAGGGAAATAAGTCAGGTGGTGAGGGGCCACTGGACTGGTCTCCAGACGCAGCAGAAATGCAGGCACAAGACCTGCCGAGCTGAGCAAGGATTACAATCGAGAGGAGCTGTGTCCGCTGGGAGGGAGAACGCCAAGAGCTGGAGCACTGAGCACGCGCCGCGAGCCAGCACCCACCTGCCTCATCCATTTCCCCTCCCAGTGCGCCTGGGACATGGGGCGGTTGCCAGCCTCATCTCACAGATGGGGAACTGAGGCTCAGAGAAGCCAACTTCCAAACCCGTGGTGGCCCAGCAGTGAGCTGGAAGCTGAAGCCAGCATCCCTGTCCACAGACGAAGCCCCTGCTGGTGAGGCTGTGCCTGCCCCACTTCTCACCTCTGCCGCAGGTGACTGTGCACTTGGTCCAGGGCCCATAGTGCCAGGAGAACTCGGGTGGCGGGACCTCGCCATGGCCGCCTGCCTCCCTGTGGATGGTGTACTCGTAGCGCACCCCGGGGTTGCTCTCCTGGAACAGCAGCTGGGTGGGCAGGCAGGAGCCTGTGAGCACGAGGTGTCTTCTCCATCCACCCAGTCCTAAAGGAGCCAACCCCAGCCACCTCTGTGAACTGCAGCTACACCACTGGGCCATTTTAAAGATAGGGAAACCAAGGTAGAGGCCACAGCAGGAGGGCCTGGCTCAGAGCCAGGCTCTGTGACTGACCCAGGGCTCACTCCTCCAGGACGAGACCTGCCATGAGGGGTGCTGAGCCTGGGGACTGTGCCTCCACTCCCCCACCCTGGGCCTCGGGAGGCAGGCACCTGGATCCAGACAGGCTCGTTGGTGGGACCCGGGGACGTGAGGTTCTCCCAGTTGCCCCTGCGTGCGTATGTGAAGGTGGTCCCTGCCACCTGGTAGTCCCCGTTCCACTGGATGGTCCAGCCACCATTGAGGAAGTACTTCTCCGGGTCCTCGCTCCGCAGTGCCAGGAAGTTGGCAGCCTCGGCCACCTCCTGGATGCGGATCTCTCGTGCACCGGCTGGGATCAGCCCCACATCCACATACCCTGTCAGCCAAGGGTTGTAGGTAGGTTGTGCCCAGGGTGAGAAGGTTGCTTATCCCCACCCGCTTCCCTCACGTCTCTCCCCGCTTGCCTCTGCCTGCTGATGCCAAAGATTTCGCCATTAGCTTTAAAGTCTGAGCTCCCAAAATTGCTCAGATGTGTCGTGGGTCACCAAAACCTCACAGAGGTGCCACAAATCCTGACCCCGTGGCCATGCCCCGTTACCCCTCTCTTGAGGACCTAAACTGGTCTCATCATAAGGCTGTATCCATCCCCTACACTAATTCTCTTTCTAAAAAAAACAAAGTGCCCAGGCCTTTCTCCTGGGACACCCTCCTCGTCCCCACACAGCCTGCTTTTATTCATTCACTTCTGTCACACCCATCACGTGCCAGGCACTACTCTCAGCACTTGTGTAAGCTCATGGGTAACGGCCCGATAGCCTAGGTACTATTGTTATCCCCATTTTACAGATGAGCAGAGAGGCAGACAGGGATGGTAACGTGCATGAGCGTCCTGCTGGGATATGAGCAGCCTCCAGGGCCAGTGCTTTATCCACCACATTGCACTGGGATGAAATCTAAGCTGCTCAGCCTGGAATTCAAGGCCCCATAGCTGGTCCTGCCTTCTCTTCTTGCCTCCAGGCTCTGGCACAAGCTCTTCCTCCATTTGGAAGGCCCCTTCCATCACTTCTGAGCTTTATGATTCAGCTCAACTTCCACCTCCTACAGGAAACCTTCCCTGACTTCCCCAGGCCAGGACCTTCTTCCTCGGTGCTCCCATAGTCCTCTGGGCCTCCCTCCACTGCACTGATCACACCAGAAGCTTCTGCCCCCTGCAGGACTGAGCGCTTTGCCTGCATGTCCCCATCATCTAGCACACAGTCAGTATTTGAGCAATGCGTGCAAAACAGACCAGAGGTGAGGGCACGGAGCTGGGGGTCTCAGAAGTTTCAGGAGGAGACTACCATTCTTTGAAAGGCCCGGGGGCCACACACAAGCCGGGTTGGCCCTGCCTGGGGTCTCTGGGACAGGAGGACTCCCCATGGGGACATGTCTCTGCACGTGGGCCAGGGGTCCCCTGACTCCTGCAAGAATTCCACCCCAGCAAGGCTTCCCTGCTTAGCCATCTCCAGGCTGGGTGGGGACCACAAGGCCAAGGACAGGGGCCCAGGGGAGATGGGGAAGGGGTCACCAGGTGAAGAGCACACCCCTCCCCCACAGCAGTCCCACCCCATACCCAGGCCCTCGGCCTCCTCGAAGGTCCCGCTCACGGTGTGGCAGGTGGAGCCATTGCCGTGGCACACACCACAGCGATCCTCCATAGCACCGGAGTCAATCTCAAAGTCACAGCCCACGTTCTGCAACACACAAGGAGGGGAGGCTCCTGGTGCTGGCGTCCAGCCCTCTGTGGCCCCAGCCCCAGGGGCCAGCCAGGGTCAGGAGGAGAAAGCTGGGAGTGGGGGTCAGGAGGCCTCTCTCTGGCCCTGCCCCACCCCAGCTGTGCCTCTGACCCAGGTGAACTTCTCTACCTCCCTGAGCCTCAGTTTCCTCAGATGTGAGATGGGGAGACCCATCCCTCGCTTAAAGGCATGTCGTGAGCATCACATGAGACAAGAGAAGGAAAGAGTTCTGCAAAGGCCACGGGCAGGCAGGGGATCTGACGCGCCACGGGCTCCTGACCAGCGCGTGCAGGGAATTTCAACGTCAAAGGCACTGGGGGTTGGCACCTCCCTGCTGGTCCTCCTCGGAGCCCAGGTCTTGATACCCCAGAGGCTTAGAAGCCAAGAAGCAGGGACAAGTAGGTGGCTGGGGACATAGGCAAAGAGGAGAGGCCATTGTTGTTATTAAAAATAAGAATAGATTTTGTTACCAAATACTAAGCACTATTCTTCGGGGCTCAGAGCCCTTCATGTCACCTGTGCCACCTAATTTAACCCCTTCTGTCAGGGAGCAAACCACTGCCTGGGGTCAGCCAGCCAGCAAGAGGTCAAGTCACTTTCTGGGCTTTGGTTTCCTGGCTGTGGCGGTGCTGGTGCAGGCATCCAAGGAGATGCAGGGGGTGAGGCCTGACTGGGAGAGGTCCCCAGTGCCAGGAGGCATAGTAGGGGCTTTGCCTTAGAGGTCATAGAGGGTAGGGGCTGGGAAGCCCAAAGGTAGAGCATAGGGAGGGTGGCCTGAGGAGGACCAGGAGGGACCCAGGAGACAGCCTGAGGCCCACCAGTGGGGCTGGGGGCAGCCGGTGCTGGGAGAGCCTCTTCTAACCAGGCACACCTTGCAGATGCCGTTGATGCAGAGGTCCCTGCTGGCCCGGACCTGGTAGCAGGGGGTGCCATCGACCACTGCGTCCCGCAGCTTCTCGGCAAAGTACTCATTCGAGGGCCGGCAGTGCAGCTCGCAGGGGTTCACTGGGAGCCCAAGTAGAAGAGCCATCAGCAACAGCTGGGGCAGGAGTGTGGAGGCCACCAAGAAGACCCCTCTGTGACACACATCCATAGCAGGCTAGAGGCTCCCAAGCAGCACCAACATGCTGGAGGCTCCGGCTGGGCTGGTAGCTATCTGCAAGGCTGCAGACTGGAGAGCTAGGGGTGAGCAGCAGCCCCAGGGGACATTGGGAGAGGCCCAGGCTTGTGGTGGAGACTGGGCCTCCTGCTTGCATCACAGGGTAACCTTGGACACACACACCCCCAGCCCTCTGAGCCTCAGTGTCTCCATGGGAGGCAGCACTCACCGTCATTGACCACGGGCACCCATGTGTGCAGCTGGCCCTCGTAAAGCGTAGCGTCAAAGTGGCTGCACTGGATGTGGCGGAAGGAGGGGCGGCCAGCGGGGCAGGCCTGCAGGTTGCAGAGGCGGAAGCGCTTCCGCTCACCCACACAGTATCTGCCTTTGTATTTGGGCCTGTGGGAGGACCGGGGTGCACCCCAGTGAGGGACTGGTGAATACTACTGCATGGCCACAGCCCAGAGCGAGCGGCTTCCTCCTGCACCCACACTCCAAGATCCCTGCCGCCCAGCTTTGTGCATGCTGCTCTCCTCCCGTGGGCTGCCCACCCTCTGGCCCAGACACACCCTCCCTGTTTGTAAGGACCTGTGGGGAGGTGGCAGCAGGAAGCCTGAGCTCTGCCCCCAACCTGCTGTGTGATCGGGGGCAAGTCTTGAGCCACCCTCTGGGCCTCAGTTTCCTCCAGTATAAAGTGAGGTTGGGGCTGCCTCTGCAGAGGACTGTTGAGAAGCTGGGACAAGCAGTAGGCATGACTGGCACTGGCTGGAGGGACTGCTCCAAGTCTCCGACCCATGACACCAACATCCTAACGAGCCCTTGAGTCCTCAGCCTCCCTCCTGGTGGCAGTACCCCAGCCCTGGCCTAAAGGAAGCGCCCAGGGCCCCAGCCAGCTGAGAGGTCTGACCAAGCACAGCTCCTGAAACCCTCTGCATCTAAGCCAGGGTTGCTGACCATCACCCAGCTCAGACCTGGAGGCCAGGAGGCAGGAGGGCCACAGGCCAGTCTTGGGTAAGCACAGGGCCCTGGGTGGGGCTGGCTGTGAACCCCATGCCTGCCCCAGGTGGCCTCTGGAAGTGAAGATTAGCCAGGTAGTGCCTCAGGTCTACAGTACCACTGGCCTCTGCATCTCACCAGATCTTCACACCCCACCGTTTAGACAGGGAAACAGAGGCCCAGAGAGGTGAAGTCACTCACCTCAGGCCACCCCTTGAATGCTGTCACCTCCTCCAAGCTGCCCTGCCTCATCTCAGACCTTTGTTGTGCCTCTGAGGCCACCAAGCCCCTCCCGCTGAGTGCCCACTACAGACGAGCTGCAAAACTGAGGGCCTGGCCTGCGTAAACTGCATTGCCCCCGACCTAGCTTTACTGGATGGGCACTGCTATTACATGAACCGGGGAAAGCAGGAGGCCCAGAAGGAATTGAACAGAGGATTAGACAAGGCATCTAAGGTCTGGGACCCATGCTCTTACGCCACTGCCTCCTGCCTCCTTCAACCAGCAGCTGCTTTGCCATGTATGGCCTCTGATGAGTCTCTCCAGTCTCTGGGCCTCAGTGTCCCCCTCTCTGGAAAAGTCAGCAGTGGGGACCCTGCCAGTCCCAGAACACTTGGCAGAAGTGACTCAAGGTGGCCTGGACACTCGGACTGACCATTATGAGGACACTTCCCTAAGAGCCAGGGCTGGGACAGAGCCAGCTCTGCAATCGGCTGACTGCTTGGGTCCCTCTGTCCCCATTGCCCAGGGCACCCTGGGGCCCCACACTCACGTAGGCTGCGTGCACTGCCGCTCGGCTCTGTACACCACGCCGGGCTCCGCGAGCAGAGGACCAGGCGCTCAGCTTGAGACCAGCCACCATCCACGGCCTCGGGCGAAGCACAGTACGCACTCCCCATTGAGACACCACTACCCTTGTGACAGATGGAGGTAGAGCCACCCCACCCCAGCCTATCAGTCATCCTCACCCTAGTGAGAACAAGGTGGAGTGGGGCGGCTCTTAAAGGCACAGAGGGGAAGGATGGAGGGTGGAGGGCCCCTCACAATCATCACAATCATCTGTGACCCAGGCCACAGGGAGGCTGAGCAGGAGTAAAACAGCCCACGTGCTGACTCAGCTAGAGAAGGCACCTGGGGAATCATGGAATCAAGCCCTGGCCCCAGTGCCTCCGCTTTGCAGATGGGGCCTTGTGGGGCAGAGAGTGCGGGGCTCTGCTAGGAGCACAAGCAAGACTGTGAGCCGGGGCTGACCCCAGACCCGGTCACCTTGAGTCTAGCCTCTCCAACACCACCGCGGGACTGGGGACATCCCTACCTTATTCTCCCACACGGGTGCCATCCACGGCTGCATCCAGCTTGGAGTGACAGGTGGTCCCCACAGAGGCACCAGAGTGTGCTTGGCAGACATTCTGCGAGGAGGAGGACATGGCCCATGCCCTCACCCCCTCCCCAGTGCCGCCACCCACCCTGCCCCTCCTGTCCCCAAGGGTCCCTGGCCACCCTCCACATGGCAGGGGCCCACTGACCCCAGAGTCCTTCTTGTGTACTCCACCTTCCTCCCAGACCATGTAGTGGTGTGGGGTGCCCGGGCGCTGCTCAGAGCCGTCCCCAGCTGTCCCCACCTCTCCCGACCCAGCCCCTCCTCTGGAAACACTCCCGTTAGAAGATCATGAGCAATCTTCTCCAGGATAAATAGACCCTCCCCACTAAGTCCTTTCCCTCTTATGAGCCAGCTCCAGAGAGGCTGGGGACTTGCCCGAGAAGTGTCTGGTTAGTCCATGGTTGACCCAGAAATCAGAGCTGGGTCTGTGGCCGCCCATCCCTGGCCTCTCCCACAGGCACTTGGCCTCTCACAGTATCACGGGCGCAGCCCAAGGCCAGTTACTCCCAGGCTGGCATCCTGCGAACTGGTGAGCTGTCCCCTGAGCCCTCCTGTAGGTCCCCACACCCCCACATCCACACCGGCCCCACTCACATCCATGTCCTCGCAGAAGGCAGAGTAGGCCCCATACTGGAGGCGGCACTGGTGGCTCACATCATAGAGGACGCCAGGCGGCACCGAGGGGAAGTCGATGATGTCCTTGGCAGGAGGGTCGTCCAGGCACAGGCCCCACCCACGGCTAGAGATGGGGCCAGGGAGGATGGAGGGCGCAGCCTGTGAGACCCATCGGAGAAGCCTCAGTGGGGCTGGGAGAGGAGGAGAGGTGGGAGGGGGCACAGAGCCCTACAGCTATAGGAAACTCCAGCCTCCCCACTCAGTTCAGCTGATCCTCCAAACACAGCCAGCAGCACAGGCCCTCCCAGCCTCTCTCATCTCACCTCCTGGGCACTCCAGCTGGCTAAACAATCCCAACCCCAATCCAGCCCACTGCACACGCTGCCAGGGCCCCTTCCTCAAGGCCTCCTGGGCCGCCAAGCCCTCATGTGGCGCTGCCCTCTGACCCTGCAGCCTCCGTCCCTGAGCCCAGACCTGGGCCAGGCCCAACGAGAGATCAGAGAACATCACATCACAGTTGACACAACAGAGCCTCCATTAGCTTCCCCACCCAGGCAGAGACCTCAGGTCATCTGTGGGCGGAGTCTGGAAAGCAGCCACCCTTGGGGAGAGAGCCCAGAGGCAGTCATGCCTGTCCATTTCCCCCACCACCGACAGGGCTGGCCTCCGGCCTCCACTCCCTGTCTTCCTCCAGCCAGCATTCCTGGCAGTGGTGGTGGGGAAAGATGCGGGTGTGAGCAGGCGCCATCTGTCCACCATACACTTACCTTGCTGCAGTCTGGTGAAGACAAGGCTGCCCAGACACAACACCACGAGGCAGGGAGCCTGAGGTGGGGCCCTGGGGAAGCAGCCTTGAACCTGGCTGGCACTCACTTCTGCCTCTGCCTCACTCTGTACAGCCCTTGGCCATGCTGGCCCAAGCTACAGGATCAAGCGGCCATGCTGCCCCTGCTGGAACTTAGGCGGGCACCACTGTAGCTTAGCAGCAGAAGTGCCTAACCCGCTGACCACCCCACCTATGGCTCACTGCTGTCCTGGAGGAAGGTTTGGGGCCTTCTGGGGGCAGCAGTGGCTGGGGAGAATTGAGCCACGCAGACATGCAGGGCTGAGAGGATGACCCAGGCAGCCACAACTTGGGCAGAAGCAACGGAGGGAGGCAGAACCCGTGGGACACCAGGGCCTCCTGGCCGGAGTGTGGAGACATGAGGAGGCACAAACCCTCCAGTTCTATAGTCTGGGTGGCCTCAGGGCAGGTGGTGCCAGGCCAGAGGGCCAGGATGAGCATACAGTCCTGGCTGGGACAGGTGGGGGTTGCACAGGAAGAAGGGCAAAGGTGATGGATCCTGGAGTCCAGCAGGGAGAAGACACTCGAGATGTGGAGAGGCTGGGAGAACATGAAAGGGTCTGGAAACAGGGCCAAGACCACTGAAGGCAGGTGTGGAGAGGGGCTGGGAGGGTAGATCAGACCATGGAATCCCAAAACCCAGATTTCAGAGGAGCGGGCCTGGCAGCTGGGAGACCCAGGGTGGGGTGGGTGGTCTGTGTGGTCTCCTAAGTCCCCTGGCCAGTGACAAGTCCCTGGCTCTGCCCAGAGCTGCAGAGAGAGAAGAAAGCCAAGAGTGACCAGACTTCTACTGAGAACCCTGGAATCCTGGAATCCCCAGACTGCCCATGCTGGCTGAAACAGACCCTCGAACATGGGCGTTGGCAGATGAGCAGCTGCTGGATGCAGTTCTAGTGCCCAAGATGACCACATGCCAGGCTGGTCCCGGGTGCTGGGGGCCATACCCTCTCATTTGCTCCTCACAACATCACAAACAGACTCTACCATCATCTCTCCTCACACTCCAGGGCCCATACGTCACTTGCCCTGGAGTCATACGAAGGGGCCGTGATGGCCAGGATCTGAAGCCAGGCCCCTAAGGCTGCCTGCACCAGGCTGTGTCTACTCACTAGCTGCCACCAGTGCAGGGCTCCTCCCATTCAGCCTCGAGCCTGGCCTCAAATACTTCACCCCAAATACAAGTTCAAAACCATGGCAGCCAAGGCCTGGTGGGGAGAAAGGAGTATCCCAAGTGGTCCTGCGGCTTGGGGCTCCTGAGCCTCCTGGGCCTGCACCTGAGGCAGAGTGTCAGCGGGGTGGTGGGCTCAGCTGGCCTGGGCTCACTCCTTCCCGCTAGCATTCCGTGGCTCCAGGAGGTAGACTGGGGGCTCACCCATCCCAGCCAGGGTGTCCTCTGATCCGTGGCTGAGGTCCCATGCGCCTCATCCCGGCACCAACAGTCCTGGGCTGCAGCCCAGCCCGTCTGCTTCCTGGCTGCCCCAGTACTGACTCGTTGCTCATGTGGCTCCTGTGGGCCTGCTGCTGGGCAGCTGAAGCCACAACAACCTCTCAGCCCACCCTGGGTGTGTGGGAGAAGTCGGGAGCATGGGCGACCTCACAGAATCCACTGCCAGGAATCGGGCCCAGGGTGCTGTCTTGGGAGTCAGAAACCAAGTTCTATTCTCTGCCTGGCTGTAGTTGCTGTGTGGCCTTGGGCCTTCACGTCCTCATCTGCAAGAAGCTGATCCCAAGCTACAGGGGTATAAATAGCAGTGTCTTATGGGAAAAATCACACAGGCGGCCTTGTGGCCACTTCCTTCACCTCTGGCAGGCTCACTGCCAGCTCCTCTCTTCTTACGACACCGGATCCCCAAACCGTCAGCCCTTCCCTCACGCCCCTCCTTAGGCTAATTATAGCGGGGCTGGGCAGTCCCACAAGAGGTCAGAGCAGACAGTAGGTGACTCTGGTCAGAAACCTCCTCTCTCACCTCGAGACTGCAAAGAGCTGCCCACCACTGACAGGAGAGACCTGTGGGCCGCTCCCTGGCCACCCCTGGGATCTGAGTCATGGAGTCACTGAATGGGGGTCCATGGGGTGAAGTGAAAGACCCCACATGTGACCCAGCCTGTCTCTCTCCCTGTAAAATATATTTGAGAAAGCAGGGACCAGGGCCTCCCCTTCTCCCACCCAAGTCGAGTTGGCCTGAGTGAAATGCTGTGACCTCTCCCAGGAGTCCCTTAAAGCACCTGTCAGCCGGAAGGATCTTAGAGTTCTTCAGAGTCAACCCTCTTGGACAAGCTCCAGATGCTACCCTCCAGCACCCCCTCCCCGCCACCTCCTGAGGGTTCTTCTGCCCCACCCTACACTCGCATAGCCTGGCCTCTGCCCAGCCTGCCCTCACGCCAGCACCCTTCTTCCTCGGGGTGGAAGTCAGCCTTTAGAGGGCAGGCTCCTTCTCCGAGTCACTGTCCCTGACCCCAGGAGGGCTTGGTGCCCCTCTCCCCAGTCCTACAGCCCACGAGGACTGCGTGCCTCGTGCCAATCATCCCCAACTGTCATCTGTCCGTCTCCCTCTGGTGTGAGGACCTGCAGGACAGGCACCTGGAAAATCTGTCTCCTTTACCACAGTCCCACACAGGTCTGATGGACACGAGTCTGTGGACACAGCAAGAACAGTCTGGATTCAGCCCTGTAGGTCTGCCTGGCTGGATAAGCATCTACGGCGCAGGAAGCCAAGGGGCTTCAGGACCAGACAGGATGAGGGGGTTGTCTGTGAGTGCCTCTGGGGTGCCCAAGTCCTGGGAACACTGCCTGACCATTTGACACTTCAGTGAATCTCACTCATTCTGTCCCCCAACCGTGGTGGGGCCATCCTCTCTCTCTGTCCCACCCCAGCAAGGAGACCAAAGCCTGCAGGCTGGGGAGACAGGCTGCTGCCATATCCCCACCTCCGCACACCCTCTTCCTTCCACCTCCTGGGCCTTGGGAGGGCCCTGCTGCCTGACTCCCAGGATGCAAAGGTGAAAGTGTGAAAGGACCTTGGGAAGATGGGGTTCTTCTTCCTCAACCTCCACTGGTGAGGCATGGATTGTCTAGCTGTCTGGCTCACCCCAGTGCTCAAGGCTCTGGGAGGCCACAGGCTGGCTCTGACTCTCACCCTGTCCTCCCCTCCTCACCCCAGGTCCCGAGCCAAGTCCCTCAAGCATGCCAGCAGCTGAATGAGGACAGAGACTTGTCTGTCTGTCTGTCTAGAGCCAGGGTGTTGGCGGCACCCTGGGTGGGGAAACTAGGCCCCATACTGGAGGCGGCACTGGTGGCTCACATCATAGAGGACGCCAGGCGGCACCGAGGGGAAGTCAATGATGTCCTTGGCAGGAGGGTCATCCAGGCACGGGCCCCACCCACAGCTAGAGGATGGAGGGGGCGCAGCCTGTGAGACCCATCAGAGAAGTCTCGGTGGGGCCGGGAGAGGAGGAGAGGTGGGAGGGGGCACAGAGCCCTACAGCTGTAGGAAACTCCAGCCTCCCCGCTCGGTTCAGCTGATCCTCCAACCACAGCCAGCAGCACAGGCCCTTCCGGCCTCTCTCATCTCACCTCCTGGGCACTCCAGCTGGCTAAACAATCCCAACCCCAATCCCAGCCCTCTGCACACGCTGCCAGGGCCCTTCCCTCAGAAGGCCTCCTGGACCGCCAAGCCCTCATGTGGCGCTGCCCTCTGACCCTGCAGCCTCCGTCCCTGAGCCCAGACCCTGGAGCCAGGCCCAACAAGGATCCAGAGAACATCACATCACAGTTGACACAACAGAGCCTCCGATGGCCCCACCCAGGCAGAGACCTCGGGTCATCTGTGGAAGGGCGAGGTCTGGAAAGCAGCCACCCCCGGGAGAGAGCCCAGGGCAGCCGTGCCTGTCCATTTCCCCCACCCACCGACAGGGCTGGCCTCCGGCCTCCACTCCTGTCTTCCTCCAGCCAGCATTCCCTGGCAGCAGTGGTGGGGAAAATGGCAGACATGAGCAGGCGCCATCTGTGTCCACCATACACTTTTGCTGCTGCAGTGTGCCAAAGACAAGGCTGCCCAGACACAACACCACGAGGCAGGGAGCACAAAGGTAGGGGCCCTGGGGAGGGCGGCCCAGGCCTGGCTGGCACTCACTTCTGCCTCTGCCTCACTCTGTACAGCCCTTGGCCATGCTATTGTTTCTGGGATCCGTGACCAGCCTGCTGCCCCTGCTGGAACTTAGGCAGACACCACTACAGCTTAGCAGCAGGAGTGCCCTAACCAGCATGCTGACCACACTGC